TTTATGAATAGTGCCACATTCCCTAATGGTTGCAAATGTCAGAACATCAACTCTGCTTCCCATGGACAAGAACAGAAATCTCTGGAGTCTGAACACCTGTCTCCTGCAGCCTGTGCATCTCCCTCCAGGCTCCTTGCAGAGCACAAGAACAAGCAGCTCCCACAGGATCCATGACAAACTGGATTTTTTCCTGAGGCAGGAGCAGCATCAAGACAGCACCCTGTGTTTGTCTGAGACAGGCTACTCCTCTGAAATGTTTCTGGCGTGATGCTCCACTTGTGAGAGAACTGGCTGAACAACTTTGCAGATATGGGAAGAGCAATATCCCTATAGCAGTAGCCCCACACTGACAGGAGGTGAAAGAAAGATTTGGGGCGGGGCAGAAGTGTATGGATTAGGAATTTATCAAGGAAGTAGCTGCATACATCACTGCTCTGAATTATCCTTGAAGAGAACCTCTTTTATACTCACCAGGGACTGACATTCCTCAAGTGAAGCACCCTGAATTAAGAACATGAAGTTAGAGCATCAGAATTTGTCTCTTGGTCTGAGAGATGCTCATTTTTCTGCCAAAGGGGCAGTTTTGGTCAAGCCCTGCAGGGGCTGTGTGGGGATATCTGGATGCTCAGTGTTCCTGCACCCTTCAGAAGAAATTCACTCTGAAGAAGTTGCTGCCTGCATTAGTTCAGAGTGGGACCTGTGATTCTGGGCCAGACATGGGCAGCTTTTCCCTGCTCTCTGCTGGGAGCCTGGACTGCGAGGAGCAGAGGGGCAGAGGAGTTTGTGTGCTCGTTGGAGCACTGGGCTGCAGTGATGGGGCACGGCAGGTAGCCCAAGCCGTGGGGACAAGGAATCTCTCTCTGCTTCCCAAGATTTCCTGCATCCCATCCACAGCCAGGACCGCACTTCCCTCTCTCCCTGCTGCTGCCTGCTGTTGGCCAGATGACCTGAATTCAGTGGCTTTGTAGGAGCTGTGTCCAGTGCTTGTGTGCTGGCTCTTGGTCACAGCCTTGTTCCCGTGGTCCCTTCAGCAGCAGCGTGCTCTGTGCTGGTCCCTCCTGCTGCCTGACGGGGCTCGGAGCGCGTTTCCATGGGAACTCGACAGTCAGAGATCACAGTGAATTTCCCTGCTTGCTGGACAGCACGGGAAATTGCCAATCAGAGGGTGAAAATCAGGAGCTGTAGAGAAAGTGAAGGGGAAAACAGCAGGAGGGGAGGGGAGAGCTTCCAGGGCTGCAGGAATCCCTGCTGGGGAGCTGAAGGAGCTGAATGACCCGAGGATGCCCACGGGTTTGGGATGGATGGCTTTAGGATCACAGCTCAGGTGAAAGGGTTTGCAGCATTCCAGCCCTGCTGGGGAGCCATGAGTCAGCCTGGATTCTGTGGGAGAACAGCCCTGTTTGGAAGCTGACGGAATCGAGAGGATCCCGGAGCGTGGGTTGGGCTCCAGGATGCAGAGAGGGAGAGATCAGCAGCACAAGAGCCTTTCAGAGGTCCCCAGCTGCTGCAGAGGCATCCAAAGGGAACTGTCTGGATCATTTTCCTACGTGTGATCTTCAGAACCAGGCTGTACAAAGCAAGATTCACTGTGAAAAAAAATGTTGTCAGTGATTTCACTCCCTTTTACTATTGCCGTTCTGGGCATTCAGAAAAGATTCCAAACCCATAGGTGTGTGTATTTATATTTGCCTTTATAGCTTAAGTCTCTAAGGTGTCACAGTTTTAACCTGTGCTGCATAGCCAGGAAGACTGGCTTTTTTTTTTCCTTCCAAATTCCAAAAAGGAAAGCTGAAAATCCCACATGAAGGCAGGACTTCCAAAAGGTTCTGTTAGTGAGCCCTGTCAGACAACAGAAGATCTGTAAAGCACAGGGATGGAGCATTCATTGTTTCTGGGGACTTTTCCCACAGGGAAGGGTAAAGAAAAATGATTTTGATTCAGAAATGGTGTGATGAAGAAACCACAGGAATTACCCAGGAAATTTGAGGGCTTTCTGAAGGAGAAAATAATGAGTAACTCATAATTTGATGCTGATTTGATTGCAAGTTGTAGGGTAACTGACTTTCCCAGATGTCTCAACACCCCCTGCCCCAGGCAGCCAGGGGTCCCTGAAGAGAAAGGCAAGACCACCGATGCATTTCTGGCTGTCAAATCTTAGCCCACAGTTATTTGCTTGCTAGTTCAAAGGACAGAGGATTATTTCACAGCACCTAAAGTCACTGCAAGTGTTTCCCAGTGTATTTCTCCCGTGTTGATGATTTTTTTAAGGAGCTCCCTGTGTTTGCCACCCAAAGGCTGCAGCATGGTGCACCTCTCTGAATAAAGGCCTCGATTCAGGGTAGAGGAAGGGGGAACCCTACAGAGCTCCAGCTTCTCCTGCCATGGCCAAACTGGGCTCACATCTGGCACCAGGTGATGTCAGTCAGAGCACAGAGCTGCTGCTCCTTTGTCTCCGTGCTCCTCCTCGCTGCCAAGTAAATCTGTTCCTGTCCAGTCCCTTTTCTTTTTCACCCCCCTTCTTCCAGTCAGATTTTCACCTTTTCTATGTGCTGTTTTCTGGTTGGTTTGAGCACCAGCACTCCTGAGCTGGCCCTCGTGCTCAGAAGGCAGCTGAACAGCACCTGCTTTATGAACTCCCATGCCTTGGCTGGGGATTATTGGGCATCACCAATTTGAATGCACTCAATCAGCTGAAATAATGTCTCCAAAGGCAGCCATTGCCATGCAGGTGCAGGGCCAAATGTAGAAAGAATCACAAGGAAAACAGAAGGGGATAAAATTCCCATGGGTGTAGTTACCCTGGGATTCATGAAAATGGGGAAGCTGGGAAATCTGGCCTTCAAAAAAATACAAAAAGCCATCTATTTCAGCCACTTCTAGTTATATAAATCATGAGTATCTGCTTGGGAGTGGGTTAAGAGCCTTGGCTGTAGCACTTCTAACACTTTATGTGTGGTGAACACAAGTGGCACGTGTCTGCTGGGGGCTGCAGCCTGGCTGAGCCTGTGCTGGGGCTCTGGGGCAGGGTGAGGTGACTCCCTGTGGTGTCTCTGCATGCTGGGTGAGATGTGCCTGTCTGCACATTGCTCTTGCTCACTAAGGAATTTCATTCTGGAATGCACCCCCTGGGGCTGGGGATGTACAAGTGTGTTCCAGGGTGTGTGTGAGCCTCCATAAGTGCTGTGTGTGTGCATCTGCTTTTCTGTGAGGGACCCACGGTCCTGCCTGTGTGTGCTGCTGGGTGCATCTGTAGCTAGCTGAGCAGCAGGGAAGGTCCCTTCCCTTCCCTTCCCTTCCCTTCCCTTCCCTTCCCTTCCCTTCCCTTACCCTCCCCTCCCCGGTGGTCAGGAGCCATCCCCCGGGCCAAGGGGAGCCAGGCAGGGGCTGGGGGGAGCCTTGGTGACATTGTGAATGTGTCATGTGCCATCCTTGCCTGGCATCCGTACACAGCACCCCCCGGAGCTGCTGTGCTGCTGTAGCTCCAAGACCTGTTGTTTTTCAGGTCACTGCACTCTCAAGCAGAGAGCAGCTCCCTCGCTATTGCCCCTGACGTGCGTCACATTGCATTGGTTTGTTTGGAGCCAGCCCCTCTGATCCTGTCGCTAACAATAAGGAATCCTCTGGCACCGCTGCTCCGGAGCCACCTCCCGACAGGTTCCCTCCTGTGGGTCGTGTCTCCCCACGCAGATCTGGGGCAGTGGGGGAGGGTTAGCTCTGTTTCCTGGCAAAAACGGAGGTAGGGCTGGCTGGGATTTCAGTGTTGAGCTGTTTTTCTGCTGTTCACATCAGTCTGAGGAGGATGCTGCCCCAAACACTGCTGTGTTTGTGCTTGGCTGGATGGCATCAGACTCCTGTGGGTGCTGAGCGGGGGAGAGAGTGGGAGAAGGCATTCTGCACCTTCCTTGCCTCCACACTTACCCATCCCAACAAAAGCATAATCCTCACTTCTCTCTTTGAGGAGGAACCCAGAAGGACTGAGCTGAGTCCTGGAGGTGTTGGCCACTCTTCCAGCTCCCTGTGACACGAGTGCACAAGGCCACTGCAGAGAGGGGAGCAGGGACCGTGGAGCTGATGCTTGGCCTTCACCCAGCTGTCTGGTACTTGGGTGATCCTACAGGGAGGCAGATGCAGACTCAGGATGCCAGGGTTTATTCCTTGGGAGACAGCTGGTTAGATTGGAGTGGGGAAGGACAAATGGAAATCAAGATTGTTGGTTACATGGCAGCTAAGGAAATGGTGGTCTTGGAGAGAAGGAAAAGGAAACAGAATTTAAAGGTCCTGGAATATATCACCCTGCCTTGGTCTGCTGTATTTCCTAAGGCTTCACCTGCTGATCAATAGAAATGGGATTGCCCAGACAGTTTTCCTTACTATCATTTATTTTGGATTATTCAAAGGAAGAGGCTAATGAATGAAAGGAAATTATTAATCCTTTGTTTTCCATTGGGGAGGGTAGGACAGGGGAAGCCACAGAAATGTGAGGAGCTTGGGCAGACCCTGCATTTTCACCCCTGGAAGCATTTCAGCCAACAGTAAATCATTTCCATGCCTGGCATGTTTTTAACACCAGGCTGTTTTGTGCTTAAGTGTTCCTCTCCTCCTGCTCTGGACTGCAAGCCTCATAGAAGGTTGATGTTTCTGTGTTTGCCCCTAGGGGACAGGAAGCTCTTTGTGGGCATGTTAAATAAGCAGCAGTCTGAGGATGACGTGCTCCGGCTCTTTGAACCTTTTGGGGTCATTGATGAATGCACGGTGCTCCGTGGACCTGATGGGAACAGCAAAGGTGTGAACCCTCTGTGTGTCCTGCCCTTTGTCCCTGCTCTGGGTGGTGCTCACCAGCCTCACCTCTCCACTGGGGCACTCATTCCCCCCGCCCCCCCGTGTTTATGGGAGCCCATAAAACAGCCAGGAATAGGGAGCAGAGCAGGAAGAGTCCTCTGCTGCCCGGAAGGACTGGGGAAGGTGGGCAAAGGCTGAGGGAACAGGAGGGGAAGCAGAGCACCATGAGTGGCTGAGCTCTCAGGGTCACTCGTGAGCCTGTTCTGTCAGTCTGGGGCTGCAGGTTGAGGTGTTTGTACCCACAGAGAATTTGGGAAAGAGGTGATCAGGGGCAAGGGTGGAGATGGTGTCATCATCTGTAGAGTATATCATTGAAGTAATAATTTGAGACCCTTCCTCTTTTTTCCAGGATAGAGGACTTGGGATGAGTCATCCTTTTTGTTCCCTGCTTCCTTGGGGTGGCTTTCCTTTGCCCTACCTGAGATACAGACACTGTCTCTTGCGTGATGGCACTTTCACAGCAGTCCTGTCACTGCAATCTCCTGTGCTCTTTCTGTCCCTTTCCAGGCTGTGCTTTTGTAAAGTTCTCATCTCACACAGAGGCTCAGGCAGCAATCCACGCACTCCATGGCAGCCAGACAATGCCCGTGAGTATAAGGCCAGGGGACCTACCCTCTTCCTAATCCTTGTCCCATTTCCCTCTTGCAGGAACCTTCCCACACTCTCCAAAAAACCACGACAGGTCCAACAGCAGTGTGGCTGGGAGGTGTGTGGGGGTGTGTGTGCACATCTGTGCTCCACTTGCAGTGACCATCCTGTCCCCTGGGCTGCTGTTTGTGGCTGTGTTCATCCAGACTGGGGGTGACAGCACTCACAGCTTTAAAAGCTGAATAAAAGAGAGCAAAAAATCAGGCGAAGATTTTGTCTTGGAAACAGCTACCTGGAGTAGTTCAAAACTGAGCAGGGTGAAAGCTGACAGTTCAGCCACATGGGTGGTCAGGGCTTCAGTGTCTGAGCACTCCTTGGCTTCTCTTATTTAGGCAGTAGAGGAGGTCCCTGGGGTGGGCTGGGTGCGGGTGGGAGCCCTTTGTGCCTTGTGTGGGGTTGTGTGGCTGTAGCTGAGCAAGTGGAGCTGCAGCTGTGGCCTCATCTCTGGCAATCTCCAACCTGAAACTGGGACACCTCACACAGTGCACTGCTGCAGCCAGGGAATTCCCAGCAGCCAGGAGCTGCTCTGCCCGTCCCACCAAGCTCATGGTGGTGGAAGGATGGTGCTTGTGGCCATCGGTGCCCTGGGTGTCCCTGGCTGCACCATTACCTGGGGAGTTCAGCCAGGGATGTGTGCATCCATCTAGAGAGCCGTGTGAGGGGAAGGGTGTGAGAGGGAAGGGTTGGATGGACAGACAGATGGGGTAGGGCACAGCCTTCCAGGCAGCTCCCCAGCACTTCCACACCAATATTTGCTCTTCTGCTCCTCTTCCCACTCCTCTCTGCCGCCTGTCCTGCCCCGTCCTCCCTTGCCTGACCGCTGACTCTCTGGCTGTCCCACGCCTCTTCTCTCCTGCCTCCTCTGTCTCCTCTCTCTGTGCCTAGGGTGCCTCCTCCAGTCTAGTGGTGAAGTTTGCTGACACGGATAAGGAGAGGACCCTCCGCCGTATGCAGCAAATGGTGGGGCAGCTGGGCATTTTCACTCCATCTCTCTCCCTGCCGTTCAGCCCATACAGCGCCTATGCGCAGGCTGTGAGTATCCCCCGGGCGTGGGTGGGGAGCGCTGCCGCCCCTGGGACACCACAAACCGATCTCCTGGCAACTGTGGGAAAGCTTCCCAGCACCTGAGAGTGCTTCTGGCTTGTTTCTGCACTCAGCTGCCTTGTCTTGCGCAGTTCTTGTGTGGTTTTGTCCTGGAAATGGGGGGGCAGGGGAGAGCTGGGGCCTCCTCAAAGTGAGCCTGGGATTTCTCTGATGTGGAGGTGTTTGGAACAGGTCAGTCATGACCCACTACCTTTCTGTCTTGTTATGAGGAGAGCTCAGAGCTTTGGATGACATCTGACAGATACCAACCTGTGAACTCTTCCTCTGGCTCTGTGGCACAAATGTGTGTCTCTGGTTTTGGAGCAGCAGGAGAGCTCTGGGACCCAGCTTCACGAGTTTATTTCTCTGGTGAAATTCCCAGGAGAGCCCTATTTCCCCCGGTGCTGTCCTTGGCTCCCAGGTTTCTCACTTGGCCAAGTGGGATTGTGGAGTTTACAAGGTGCTGGAGAGGAAGCAGTGGGTAGCAGAGAGCCAGAGGTGTTTCAGCAGCCTGGCTGTGCTTTGGGTTTTATTTGGTTTTTATTGCTTTGGGTTTTAGTGAGAGAACCTCCTTGTCTTGGAGCCATGGTGGCAATTGCCACTGATATTCAAGGTGGGTCCCAAACTCAAGAAGTCCCAGATCAGCTGTGGTGGAGCATTGTTGGAGCCTCCTTGGTGATTGTCATTTTCAGGTCTCTGCTGCCAAGTGTAAAGCCCATGGAAGGAGGCTCAGAAATTGCTCAGGGCACAAGAGATTCTTGTGTTGACAGAGAACTCAAAAGTAGATACTGTTACTGAAAGTAATTTTCTAGGGGGTAGTGAAAATAAACCTGTTCTTCTCCTGTATGTGGACACCTCTTCTCCTCAGGCTTCAGCAGCTCCTTGATTCGTTCAGAGCCTTCCTTTCATTCACATGACAGAGAAGGAACACGTCTCAATTGTTGGCTGTTTCCTCAAAGATTCCCTAGAAATTGCCAAATGCATTTTAAGTGTGTGGCAAGGGTATGGATGAGAAAAAAGGAAATACGTATGAGGCTCCATAACTTTGGGGAAATTTGCTGGCCAAACAGAGAATTGATCCAACACAGATTATTTGAAGAACCCCTTGTGACCAGGCACCGCCTTTTGCCAGGATCCTTCTTTTCTATTCAGAGCCAGCTGCACCTGAGGTCAAAAGTTGTAGCTTATCTCAGCTGTGAGAGGAGCATCCTGGTGTGTCTCCTGTCCTAGAGATGGCCCTGACTTGGGCATGGTGGAGAAGGCAGGAATGGAGCCACAGTGAGCTTGTGGTGGCAGGAGGTGCTTTAGCAGCTTGAGGTCCAGCTGTGTAAGGAGGAAGAGCAGCGAGAGGTTCCAGACTCAGTCCTTCAATCTTCAGGAACCCCTGCTGATGACAAGAAGGCAGTCAGGTCTCAGCTGTGCCTCCTTGTTTGTCTGCATCTTCTTTCTCCTCAGTTGTGTCTGTTACTGTGTTGCTCTCTCTCCGATTCTTCACTGGCCTTCCTGCTCTGTGACTTGGTTTTGATTTTCCCCTTGACTCTAGACTCAGCCTGTCTCCCACTTATTTTGGATTTTTATCTTCCTTTCCTTTTACTTTGCACTGGGCTTGGTTCTCCTGGTTTTTTCCCCAAGGCACTGACCTCACACCTGACTGTTTCTTCTCTTGTGCCATTCCCATCTTTGGTCTCCCTTCTGGAGGCCTGATCTCAGCCAGTACACACACACACAGTGGCACCATCAGAGGGAGAGGGAGAGGGAGTCAGCCCTTTGGAATGCCATCTAACATCTCTGAAAGTGGGGGCAAAAGAGGGAGATTTCCATCCTCAATCTCCTTCTGGTTCCTCAAAATGCTCTGCCATGGGCAGCCCTTAGGAGCTGGCACCTCTGATAAGCCAGGGCTCAGGGGCAGCCCAAAATCCCTCATGCCTTCCTGATTTGGGGCTTGGAGGAGTAGATGCTTCACCCAAGGTCCCCCAGCTGACCACTGTGGATGTGGCTGAACCAGACTGAGAGGTGCAAGTGCTGCTGGGGTGCACTTGTGCATCAGAGGCATCACAGGTTCTTGTAGCCATCATTTAGTACACAACAGCTTCCTCTCCCTGTCACCACAGGGTTTGCTGAGTTACCAAGCCAAAGTGGTCCCCAGGGGTTTAGGAAGAAGTTTGGAGCCTGGGTTGTTTTTGTTTTGTTTTCAGTTGTCTGTTTTAAATTTATATTAATAACCTTCTTCTTCTAAAACTATCTCAAATTAAACATGAAATAATGATACATTAAGTTCAGTCTAAAGTTATTCAGATCTATGCAAATATGCAAAATAAGGTACTTAAAATAGTCAAACAGTGCATGTTAGCTGAAACTGTTAGAAAAAGTCTCATCTGGGAAGTACAACTGGCTAAGCATCTGAAAGCAGTTTATTTCAGTGCTTAAATCAGGTTTTGATCCCAGGTGCCTCTGCAAATGAGTTCATTTTATTCAACAAGTTAGTTCAGGTGGACTCAGGGAAATGTTTGGGCGCTTTTAAAAAAATATTAATACAGAAGAGCCTTGAAGTCTTAAAAAAACAGCTAGAGCAATTTACTAAGTGCTTATAATGTCTGAATATTTCTTGTACATAATAAATCAATTAGTTCCAAACACAAACCATAATTTGTTCACACCTCCCCTCCTTTTATTTCTGCTCTTATGGTTCATTATGGTAATTTTATGTAAGTGATGAGAACAATTCCAGAGTGCCAATTTGGTGCTCGTGCAGCTGGATGGAGGCCTTGGTCCAGCCAGACCCGGCACAGAACAGGCATTAATGAGAAAAGAGAAGATCAATACTCACAGAGTGAGCAGGAGATGTATTGGTTCCTGCACCCTGGAGTGGGGACAGCCACGTTTCACTGCAGCCCTGGCTCGGGGTGGCTCCCAGTGACAGGAGGGAGTCCAGGGCCAGGGGAGCCAGGGGTGATGTGGAGGTGCACAGAGAGGTGATACCAGAGCTTGTCCTTTCTGGAATGGCACAGGAGTGACCCCTGTGCTGTCAGTGCCCCCCTGCCCCAGAGCCCCTGTGTTGGGACAGGCCTGGGAGCCCTCACCCATCCCCAAAAAGGGCTCGAGCCAATTGCACCCCATGGCTTCACTTGTACACAGAGCTTGCAGAGGCAGCCCTGCCATGAAATCCTTCTTTTGATGCAAAAGCCATGATCATTTTTTGTGTGGAGGAAATTGTGAGGTTGAACTAGCCACGAACTTTTCAGATCCTTCAGCTGAGCCCTGGGCCAAACTGCCTTACTGACTTCAGCCCTTTGTGAAGAGGTGGGTTCCAGGAGAGCTGTGTGTTTGTGTTGCAAAGACAGTGGGATGTGGCAGTGTCAGGAGGATTTTTGTTTTCTTGTGTTTTGCCTTGTGTCACCCCATGGCTCCTCCTGAGAATCTCTGGTTTCCTGTGCCTCCCCTGCTCTTCTTGCTTGATGTGAAGACAAATCTGATAAAGGGCTGGATAATTCTGCATCCAGAACTAAGTCTTTTTTTGCCACTGCACTCTGAGGGCATCTTATGCTCCCACTGATGGTCAAATAGGACCAGGATTTCTTTCTTCTCTTAACCCTCCTCTCAACTCTCGTACCCTTCCTTTTGTACTGTGCATCTCTGCCTTGGCAGGTGTGTCATGGCACCAGGAGGAGCTGATGTCCCCTGTCCCCAGGGTGCAGGCCAGTGCCAGAGGACAGGCTGAGCTCAGGGCATCACAGGCCAGTGCTCTGGGGGCAAAGCAGGCCACAAGAACTGGGCCTGGGCACACACCTGGCTGCACGGCAGAGTGCCCGTGCCACAGCGAGCTCCGCGTGTTTCCCAGCACGATCTGCTCGCAGAGGCTGGGCAAAAGCAGAGGGGTTTGGGCCCCGTTCCTCGAGGCAAAGCTGTATTTAATATCTGGCACTGTCCCAGGAGAAGTGACCAGGGAGAGGGGCCTGTGCCTGGCAGTGCAAGGCCTGTGGGGATGGCGCTGCTGGGTGCCAGGAGCAGAGCCCTGAGCCGCTGCCTCCCCAGTGCAGGAGCTCTCCGAGCCGAAGGGCCCTGTCCTGATGCCCTGTGCCCAGCCAGTGAGCCACAACCCCTCGAGGCTGCTGGCCGTGGGGGTGCCCAGCCGTGGCCCTGCCTTTGTGGACTGGGATGCCCCCTGAGCTGTGTCCCCTGCCTGCAGGACAGGGAGCTGTGCCCAGCTCTCGGGGGCTCTCCTGGGTGGCCAGGCCACTGTCCCACACCGGCAGGGGCAGCAGCTGTGAGAACGTGGCTGCAGGGACCTCGTGGGCCCCGAGACTGGGGACTGGGCTGGGGAGGACAGCCAGCACTGCCCACCCCAGCAGGTCTGGCGGTGTCGGGGGAAGCTCCAGGACAGGTGGCAGGACCTGGGGGAGGTGACAGCCAGGCTGGTCTGCACAGCCTCCCCCAGCTCTGCAGGGCCCTGACTGCATGGTCCTGCTTTGCAGCTGATGCAGCAGCAGACCACGGTTCTCTCCACCTCCCACGGCAGCTACCTGAGCCCGGGCGTCGCCTTCTCCCCGTGCCACATCCAGCAGATCGGTGCCGTCAGTCTCAACGGGCTGCCCGCTGCTCCCATTGCACCAGCGTCAGGTGAGCGCCTCAGGGAACCTCCTGCCCCAGCACTCGGGGCTCAACCAGTTCTGCACCTCCAGCCTCAGCAGCTGCATTAACTCACTCCTTTCCAACAGTGCAGCCTCTGAGCACAGCAGTCTCTGCTCTGCACAAATTCCTGCACCCCCCTGGCACCCTCACATGTTCAACACACATCCTCTTGCCCTACGGCCGTGAATTTTTGCTGCAGTTTTAGTAGAGAAGGACTGGGTTCCCAGGATTGCACTTGGCTCTGAGGTCAGCAGTGCTATTGTTCATGATCATCATCCCACAGCAATAATGCATATTGGGTTCAAACCCCTGTCAGAGCAGTCATGTGTCATGCCAGGTGCTGTGCAAACCCAGATCAAAGATGTTCAGAGCTCTGACAGCACTCAGGACTGGCAGTTCTTCTCACACTCTTCCCACTAGTGCTGCCTCTTAATTTTGTAAAGGCTCTAGCACCAGTCTGTCATCTCCACGTGCCAAAGAGAAGAGATAATGGCTTCATGCACAGCAGTCTTGCCAGGCAGGTGGAAGGGGGGAGCAGGGGCTTTGTGGGACCTTGACTTCCATGGGATGTCCTCTCTTCTTGTTCTCCAGGGCTACATTCACCACCTCTCCTGGGAACAGCAGCCATGCCAGGACTGGTGGCACCCATTTCCAATGGATTCACTGGAGTGGTACCATTCCCAAATGGGCATCCAGCCTTGGAAACAGTTTACACCAACGGCCTTGTGCCATATTCAGGTATTGAGAGTAGTAAAAGACCCCACCATGCAGACACCTGAGGAACTGCAATTAGTTCCTCTTTTCTGGTCTCCCCACACTTTTCTAGCTCCCTCCCAGGCAGGCACTGAGACTCACTTGGGGGCGAGGGTGGGAAACAACACTGCACACACTACACAGAATGCATGAGTGATTCCATTTGCTGTGCTTCTGATTGTGTTTTTCTCTGCAGCCCAGAGCCCTTCAGTAGCAGAGACTTTGCACCCAGCCTTCACTGGAGTTCAGCAGTATGCAGGTACCAGCTTCCCTTGTCTCCCTCAGGCCCTTGTGTGGCTGACCAGATCCTCAGGTAAACAGTTTGTTCTGTCTCCTTGGGCTACAGCTGTGTATCCAACCACCACCATCACCCCCATTGCACAGAGCATCCCTCAGCAGCCTCCCATCCTGCAGCAGCAGCAGCGAGAAGGTGAGGATCAGGGTAGGAATAGGGGTGTTCAGCGGTGTAGGTGGGATTTGTGGAGCTCATCTTCTGCATGACAGAGCAGATGGAGAGGAGACAGCACTAATTTTTGTCCACTGGTCTTTAATGCTGGAGCTGGGGTATGGAAACAACCACATGTCTGCAGTGAGTGGTCTGGGAAGGATCATGAGATGTTTCCTGACCTCACATCTGGCCAGATGCTGCCAGGTGCAAAGGGACAGTAGGCCCTGGAACACCCTTAACACCAAAGGGGATGAGAGTCAGCACCTTCCCTATGCAGTCAGGGGAAAAGTGTACTCATCCCCCTCTTTGCTGGTGCCAAAAGCACAGTGGAACCAGTCAAACCAGCCTCTCCAAGTATTCTCCTCTCTTTTCAGCCTTCATAGCCTACTGAATTTATTTTCAACTTAATTTAAAACTGGCTTGAATAGAATTTGGAGGCAAAGGCATTCTCTCTCTACACCTGATTGGTGGAGCAAGTGTCAGCAAGGGAGCAGCTTCTTGTGCTCCTAAGGAGGAAGTGAAAGAGTGAACAGGACCAGGTCAGCCCATAAATTGGATGTGTGGCAGTCCAGGAGGTTTCCAGTAAAGGCTGTGGCTTCTGGACTCAAGGCAATACTGCAGGGAGTGCTACAGCAGCAGCTTTCACACAGCAGTGTCTGCTGCTCTCCTAGGACTGTGACAGCTGTGAGCTCTCACCTCAGCTGATTTCCTTCCAGCAAAACAGCACCCAGACACTCACACAGTTGTGTCCAGCACCCTGTGTAGGAACTAGACAGGCTTTGAAAGATAATCTGCTCTCCAGAAACTCTAGTTTTGTATTGAGTCTCCCAGTTGCTCTTCGAGATCCCTCAGATCCCTTCATGGAGCAGTGACAGAGACAAGCAAGGGGAGATCAGAGCAGAAGGAGGCAGTGCTAGGGCTCTCCTCCAGTGCTGAGCTGTGAGTTGAGCCCATTTCTCTTCTCCTGCCCCTTGGGGGCTTTCTGTTTTGTCTTTCCCCATCGCCCCCATACCTGCAGGTCCTGAAGGCTGCAATCTCTTCATCTACCATCTCCCCCAGGAGTTTGGAGACAACGAGCTGATGCAGATGTTCCTGCCCTTTGGCAATATCATCTCCTCAAAGGTGTTCATGGATCGTGCCACCAACCAGAGCAAGTGTTTTGGTAAGTGCAGGCAAGGGAAGCATGATCAATAACAATGACACTCATATTGGGCATGGCACCAACAGTGCCGTTGTCATCTGTCCTGTGTCCTTCCTGCAGGTTTTGTGAGCTTTGACAACCCATCCAGTGCACAGACTGCTATCCAGGCCATGAATGGCTTCCAGATTGGCATGAAACGCTTGAAGGTGCAGTTAAAACGGCCCAAGGATGCCAACCATCCCTACTGACAGCAGTGAGCAAGCAGGAGTCACTTCTGCAGCACAGGTAAACTGCCCCCAGCAGGGCACAGCTCTGGCCAGGGCTCCAGCTGCTCCCTGCAGAGTGGGAGACCAGGAGTGGAGCAGTGGCACAGCTGGTGGGGCAGAGGCTTCACCTGAGCAGGGTGACCAGAGCAGGCTTGGAGATGATGGCCAGGTTCAACAGTCATCAGGCAAATTTGTGGCAATGGGGCAAGCCCAAAGCCAAGCCAGAGGCTCAAGATCAGGGTCAGGTCTGGTGAAGGTGAACAGGGTCAGACATAGTCCGGTGATTGCCAGGCAGGTCTATAATGACATTAATAAACATCAAGCTGGGAAGCCAGTCCAGGAGTTGGAGCCCAGGTAGTGAGATCCATGGACAGGACAGGTCCATGGACAGGTGGTGACTGGCACGTCCATGTGTGTGTCAGACAAAGGCTGATGGCACAGAGCTGTAAGGAGACTTTTGGAGCTGTGGGCAGTGAGGACAGACAGCGCAGGTGGGTGCCCTTGGGGCCCTGACAGGCAGATGGTTCCAGTGGCCTGTTTGTGGTCTGAGCAAGGTTTTACTCTGCTGTCCAACTGCTCCCAAAAAGCTTTTGACTGCTTAAAAAGGCATTAAACCCCAGTAGTTTTCAGTTGTTACATGGGCCCTGAAGTTAGTCTGCAAAGATTGCTTTCTGGGGTAAGAAGAGACAATCCCATGATTCACAGGGATCACAGAAAAGCAGAGAAAAGGTGAGACCCTGAAGGGCTGCTGTCCAAGAGCCAGCTCCTGCCAGCCTACAGATGGGGAGCAAGGGAGGGCTGATCTGATTTGAGTCAGAGTCTTCCAGGTTTAAGCAGCAGCAGCAGTTCAAAGCCTGAGGTTTGCATAGATATCCTCCTAATCTCCCAATTCCCTCCCTCCTCCCTTTCTGTTCAGGTGAAGGGAAAGTCCAGAGGAAGAATTTCTGCTTCAGGTTGATTTTCAGAGAGGCCAGTAAATTTATCGACTCTTTTGACACCACCCCTTTCCTTCCTCGGCTTCCCACCTTACCCACCCCATCTTCCTCCTCCCCTCCTCTCCAAGACATGCAATTAAAGAGAAGGCTCAATATCTGCCCAGGAGGAAGATTCTTGCCACACCTGGACTCGCATATTTGCTGCTAACGTGGTGCAAAGCAAAGGGACCAGCAAACCAGCAGCCCCTGGGACACGGAGCTCTTCCTCTCGGGGTGTGGCTGGAGAACATGGACCAAGCAAACCCATGGTGTGTCTCTAGGTTACTGCAGTGATGTGTGGAAATTTACTTCCGTCCCTCCCTCCCTCCTGCTCTGTTTCTGGCCCTTTCATAGATAACTATAAATATATACAGTCTCTATTTTTTTTTTAAACTAGCTCACAGGACCAAACTTTTCCATTCAGAGACTGCTTGCAAGAGGTACTGGAAATGAGGGGTTTGCCTTTGCAACAGTGTCTTCTCAGCATGCACTGCAGATAGGCCTGAACATTTTGGAGAGAGGGGGCTGGGGGTGGGTTGGGTGGAGAGAGAGAGAGAGAGAGAGAGAGAGAGAGAGAGAGAGAGAGAGAGAGAGAGCACATCTCTCTGCTCAACACAAGCAAGGAGAAATACATTCCTCCAGGATTAGGGCACAGTCAGCTGCTCAGCTTGAGTCACTTATCCACCTTAGCACCAGCCTGGTTAAGGATCTGGAGAGCTCTGTCTTACCTTTCCAAGGGCTCCTGCAGACAAAGCTCCTGGGATGTGGTGCCAGCCCCTACCCTGAGCACTCTGTGATTAGGCTGAAAGCACAGGAAACCAGTCCCCTTACTTAGAGGAACTGCACTGCCTCCCCACACATGGCACAGATCCATGTTTCACAGCTCTCCATGGCAACAGCATTTTCTTGATGAAGGCAGGAGAAGATGAGAGTGTGAGCAGATGCAATCTCCAGCACAGCTCCCAGGGGCTGCACACTGCCTCCCTGTGTCGGATACCAGCACTGGGGAGTGGGCAGTTCCCGTTCCAGATGACACAGGACGCCTTCTCCCTCTGAATTTAGCAGGAGGACTCTCCTCATGCACTCGCTGCAAAGCTTTCCCCAGCAGATGCAAGGAAAACAGGATGAAAGAGGGTTCCATTCTGGGATTTTTTTCCCCCAGCACCCCCTCCAAGAGACAGATTATACATTATGCAGCATATACATATATATACACACATATATATATGTAGGGACAGCTCTATACACTACATACACAAACTCTAAAGCACAGAATGTAGTTCAGAACTGGATTTTAAAAAGATCTGCTGGGAGTGTGGGGTGTGTGTCATCCTGACAAGGCACATCCCTTGAACAGTGTGGAACTGTCTCTTCAAGTTTCTACAAAAATAAGGAAAGGAAAGCAAGGCAGAGCAGACCAACAAACCCCAGATTGATTAGGAATGAACTATTTCAATATTCCAGAGTTTGATAAGGTACCACAAACATTGGTGTGTGTGTGAGGGTGTGTGAGTACATTGAAATAGGGACAGAGAGTTGGTGGGGCAAAGTTGGTGCAATTGATACTGAAGTGAGCTATGGGGATTTTGGAGAATCTCGGCCAACTCTCATTCTCCTCCAGTTTGCCCTTTGTTCAGGTGTTTGTGGCACAGTCCTTGAAGTACCTTCACATCTCCTCAACCACCCTACTGTGTCTGACGCTGAGAGTTTATGAGAGGTGAATGAAGCTGTGAGAGTCTGTGTGTTTCTATAGTCCATGTTTACTTATTGTAAATACCATTTTTATACTTAACATCTATTATGTATGTGATTTGTATAATGTACTTTATTTCTGCTACAAGTAATTTCATGAAGTTTAAACTTAGTCTAATTTTGAACAAAACAAAAAAAAAAAAAGAAAAAATATGAACAAATGCAAAATGGGAAAAAAAGGACTTTGGGAATCCTAGGTCAAGCTGGTTTAAAACAAGCATTTACAGTTTCTTCCATCACAGTTACTGATGTGACTGAACAATGTTACAGGTGCGATACAAGCTTTGTCAATGTCAAATTCCTCACTCTGGTCAAAAAAAAAAAAAATCCTAAATTTATTTAATAAAAGTTTTACTTGCTAAGTAACTGGGGCTCTACTTCATCTTGTTAGTTGCATCTGCTTTTAGGTAATGCTTACACTTGAAGACATTGCCAAAGCCCTGGGCTAATTTAACAGGTCACATGGGGTCAGCAAACAGGCCTTGGTCCACAGAATCCAGGGACCAATATTTCTTCACAGAGAAAGCATCAACACATAATACCAACACATTAAAAACTTGTTTTATTAAACTGGAGATTAAAATTCTACTTAGAGGAAGCAAGAGGGTTCATGGAATCCAAAATGAAGTGGTGGAGGAGGACGTCCCAGGAGGAGAGACATTCCAGGACATCCTGTGCAGATGGACAGGGGTTGAATCTGGGGCTGAGAAAAGGCTGGCTGCAGTCAAAGCAGACAGGTGAGGCTGAAGGAGGAGGGCTAAGGCAGAGTGAACAGTGGGAAAGATCTCTGACTGATGGGTAGCAGCAGCAGAACCATGGCTGAAGCAGATGAGAGACCACAGGTCATGTTAGGAAAAGGGGACTCCTGTTTGACACCACTGGTTGAGTGGGATGGCAGGAACATGATTAGAAGGGATGTAGGATGAGACTGTGCATCCCTTAGGGACTGCTGTAGTTGTAGAAAGTCCGCAGCACCTGGTTCCCGCTGCTGGGGAACAGAGCCCAGAGGCAGCAGAGCTGCTGCAGCCACCGCGGGTAGAAAACCTCGTGTGCCCGAGCGGCTCCACCCCGGACGATGGCGAGCGCGGCCTCGGGAGCAGGGGAGGCACTGAGGTGCACTTTGCCCCTGCAAGGGAATGGGCAGAGGGTCACTCAGAGCCAGGCTGGGGTTTGAGCCTGGCACGCTGACCCCACAGGGCTTCCTGTTCCATAATGAACAACCCCTGTGATGTGCCCAGGCAGGTGCACTCTCCCCAAACAGCCCTCTTAGAGTTGCTGTGCATTTTTTTGCATGCTCTCAAGAAGAGATGTGTTCCTGCAGACAAATACATACCTGGTGTACTCCAGTGCTGAAGCAGTATCAATCAGGCCCAGGATGCACAGTGTGACAGATACATTTCTCCTCTGCATGATGAGCTCATGGCGCAGTGAGCCGAAGAATCCATCCAGTGCAAACTTGGTGGCAGAATAAGAAGTGGTGAAGGGAGTGGGCATTCTCCCTGGAAAGGGGAAAGAGAGAATGGAAAACACCAGAAAACTGGGTGTAAGGAGGATCCATGGAGAGGGAATCTGGGAAAAGATGCAGCCTTTGCCATACTGTATCAACTCCTGTTCAGGTGAGTCCCCTTTATATATTAGTACACATATTATTATATTATTATATATTTATTATAATATTGTTATATACTATGAAAAGCACAGTTTGTGTTTAGGAGTTGAACAGAGAAATATGAACAGTATACATGAACTGGGAACCATGGCTTCTACTTCAGGTGAAGTCACCAACCTGTGAGGGAAGAAACAACCACCAGAGCACCTCTGTTCTTCTCCAGGGTGGGAAGAGCTGCTGTTGCAAGAGCCACATAACTCAAAAAATTCACCTGGAAGGATAAATGTAGACATGGAAGAAGGTAGAGGGTTTGAAAGCATGAGCCAAGAAAGTCTGTAATAGAGTGGTCAGAAATGGAAAGGAGCATGGTTTGGAATTGTCTTTTCAAACAGCAAGTGAGAAAAATCACCTCTAAAGATGGGGACAAACATTGCATCCAGGAGTCTTTCGGATTCCAGAAAAAGCAGTGAAGAAGATTCAGAGCAAAGGTTATTCCTCGGCTTTAACATATTGTCACAATAACAATTGTCAGATTTCCTGACAAGATATAATTAGCTGTCCCTGTTTTATGCTATTCTTTACTCTGCAACCCCTACCAAAGACACTGAGTCTCAGTCTGATCCCCTTTTAAGTTTCTTTTGACTGAATTCAGACTACAATGAAGGACAAAATTCAGCATATCTTCAGAGCTTGACTGCTCTCTTAAATTATAAGAATTTCTTACCTACGTTCCTAAGTTCCCACTCTCCAGCAAAAAGCCTCCTTCCAAAATGAAACTAGTATGACCCACCTGAATGAAGAAGACTGAATCAAGAAAACAGCTCTTCATTTCCATGGCCCCAAAACCTGGCACCAGGGTGATTCTACAGGAAAACTCTAAATCTGTGAATAGAGACTCAAATGGCAGACACCATTTCAAACAACTTTGTGTTCTGCAGTTGTGCACTTGCCATAGACCTGTAGGAAGTGCTGGCTGCTCACTTACAGACCTTCCTGAATTAAACACAACTGCCTGGAACTGCCCATCAATCCTAAACCCCTGGGCTAAAGGGAGGTAAGAAGGACAGAAGGAAGAAGTCTAAAGTTCTTCCTAAACATTCCTCTTCACAAATGTACAACATCTGAGCAAAACACCTCTCTAGCAACAAAGCCTCCAAACTGCTTGACTTCAAACAGGAATAAAGTAAAAGGATTGTTCTCAACCATTGCCACAGACTTGGATTTGCCTTGGAGCTTCCCAAAGCTGTCCCAGGAGATGCCAGGCTCACCCAGTTCCAGGTGAGCTGGGAAGCCTCACCTGCATGAGCCAGCGGGTGTATTCCACATCTCCAGTCCACTCCTGGAAACGGTTTGTGCCGATGTGGTTCAACACGAGGTAATCCAGGCCCCCTTGGACAGCAGGAAAAACAGTCACACAAGGGGCCCATCCCCTCACCATCAACCAGAGCCAGGAGGGCTGAACCACTCCTTCAAAAGGCTGGGAAGTACTTTACTATGAAGACAGATTAAATATGCCCACCTGGGAGCAGCTCTGACTGCTCCTCAGGAGTAGAACTGAAAGGAAAACTGACAACAACTCCCTGAAATGTTGTTTCAGCATGATTCAGGCTCAGAACTTAGTTCTGGTGGTACATTTATGTCCTTAACCCCTTTCTCAGTTCAGGGAACTAAAGCAGGAAGCTCCTACTAGAATGAGAACTGTGCACACAGCTGAAAGCCAGAGAGATGCCCAGGATGCTTACCCAGCTTTTGGACAGCAAACTGAACCACCTTTTCAGGTTCTGAAGGGGAAGACATATCTGCAGGGATATAAAATACTTTCTTTGCTCCAAGTGTCAGGCATTTCTCCATCACCTTGAAAAAGAACACAAAGATTAAACTATTTGGAAAAAGAATAGGGGAAATGTGCATCATAAAGCACACACCACAGTCAGTGAGAGTCAGTTCTGGACATAGACACACTTTAATTTAAAATCCACTGCTGTTTGGGCTGGAGAGCTCATTCTGCATCCAGACTTTGAATCTGCATCCTGCAAAGAGTTACCTCTAACTGTCTGCTTAAACAATCTACTTTGGGACAGGATCAAGATTCACTGGGAAAAAGCAATCTTCTTCAGGAGAAATCTTCTGGAACAAGGGTTATGCTTTACATTAAGTTCTTCTCTTTTTTCCAAACTAACTGGAAAAGAATTCATCTTTCATAATTCCTTTGCTATGCTGAGTGTGTGAATGTGCCTGGCAATGATATGCACTTTTAGCTATTTGCTGAAATAATGCCTTCCAGTCATTAGGAACTATTATTATGCTCACTGTCCCAAATTCACCTTTTGCACCATTTCACAGTGAAGAACTTTCCTTGGAAGTCACACATCCCCACAGTTAAAGAGTTACCCTTTCTAAATATTATCCCTTTTCATAATGTACAGATGAAGAAGTCTCATCTGTTTGAGTTGGTGAAAAAGGCATTTAACCTACAAAAGGTCTTGAGTTTTTAACAAAACAGCTACAAATAGAACAATTTGGACTCTGAAAAGCTGCACAATATTGCACAGGAGTTGTAGTTCATGGAGAATCTAAAATTGAAGATGACCCATAAGGATCATGAAATCCAAATCCCTGCTCCTCACAGAACTCCTTCAAACCAAACCATATCACTAAAAATGTGGCCCAGATATTCCTTGAACTCTGACAGCCTTGGTGCCTTGACCACTTCTCCCTGGGGAATTTACTCCAGTGACTGGTCACCCGCTAAGTGGAGAACATTTTCCTAATGTCCAACCTGAACTTTCCCTGATGCAGCTTCATGCCATCCCCTCATACAAATAAATGTTCTGGCAGTCAAAAGCTCAGGCACTGCATCTTCTTGTACAGGCCAACTTGTCTTCTGGGTTTATGCTTAACAGTTCCAAAAGAAAATTTATCATGCTGACAACTAATTTTTTTGTTGGTTTGGTAAAAGCCTGACTCTCTCATGTCTTCCCCCATAAAAGGACAAGGTTCTTACCTTCTGCAGCACAGCTTCCCTTCTGGCAGTCAACACAATTTCAGCACCAAATCTGGCATAGTGATATGCTATTTGCTCTCCAATCCCAGCACTGGCTCCAGTCACAAGAACACGGGCACCAGACAGGCTCTCTTTTTTATGGGAAAGAGAATAAAAGATACAGAAGTAAGTGAAGAAAGCAGCAGAGGAGCTGCCCTTAACTACTGGCAGAGCTTTAAAGAAAGATGCACCTAAGTGCTCAAAATTCTTGGTGCTTCTCCAAAACTGGAAGAGGCAGGACTGATGATGCAATGACATGCCAGCTAGCTGTGTCACAGGGCCTTTGCTAGACCAAAATCTTTCAAGAACCAAGTTGTTTTTCACCTTCTAAGAAGCTGTACAACATAAACCAGAAACCAGGCTATGTACATATCATTTACTCTTTGCCATCAGTCTGGAGACGCCTCAGCCCTCTTGTGCACACTATAGAGATGACTCTTGACACCAAGGAATTTACAACCAAAACATAAAAAGAGCAAGGCAGTAGCAAAGTGCCATTTCCCCCCCACAGAGACAGCAAGATCCCTGCTCTTAGACCATTTTGTCTTCCTCTTCGTTTCTTTTTGTTTCTGGGAATGTAACATTGCTTTGGGGCCATCAACTCTTCTAAGACTGTGGGCAGGAATGAGACCATCAGTCAAAGTTTGGAAATTCAACCTCTTCCCTTGTGTGACTTACACTTCAGCTTGAAATCATCCCCCTGGTGAGCCTACCTGGGTTAAAGTCATCTCCCCAGAAGAAAGCTATGAGCCCAGCTACAACCCCTGTAGCACAAAGCACTTTTCCAATTGGCTTCATATCCCTCCAAGCTGTGAGGAACAAAGTGAAGTCTTGAAGCTGAGCACTTCAGCCAAAATGATACTGGGCTCTCCTTCTTCCGATGCCCGGAGCCAACCTGCGAGAGGCACGTAAAGGCTTTTGTAGAACCGAGAGCCCACCTGAGGGGTCTCTCCCCTGGGAGCCACAGCCACCTTGGTCAAGAATAAAAAGGATCTTTTACCGGCAATTCCCACAGAATCTGCTCTCAGAGCCAGCCTCCACACACCGCGAGCCTACAGGAGGAAAAAAACCCCTCGTGTCTAATCTTAGAGATGTCTTAATTCATTAGACTGATAACAGTTGGCAGCAGTGACCCAAAAGCAGCCGGATCTCGGGAGGGGGGCGGCGGCAGAGCCCACAGGACGGAGCCTTGTCTGGATGAGACGAGCAGCGGGATAAGCTGCTCTGCCACCAACCACGCTGCGACACGGAGCGACAAAACGAGCGCCGGGGACAGCGACACAAAGGCTCAGGAGCCGCGCCTGGCCCCTCACGCCCTCAGCCCTGCCCGGCCCCTCACGCCCTCAGCCCTGCCCGGCCCCTCACGCCCTCAGCCCTGCCCGGCCCCTCACGCCCCCCGCCCTGCCCGGCCCCTCACGCCCCCCGCCCC